TTGGTATTGTTTTGTGGATGCCTTTTAGCATTTTGTGTAATTGTTTTGCGGGAAATAGTAAAAATATATAGGTTTGTGTGTGCACGAGTGGACTAGATCCAGCTTGGAAATACACTAGGCGAAAAATAGGTACGTTGTCTCGAAAAATGAAAGAAGGCTTTACCAATAGCTAAAAATCTAACTACCATAAGAACTCCGCTCCAAATTTAAAATTCAATTCAGGATTTGCTGCAAATCTCACGACAAAAGTTCGGAAATAAACATACCCAACGTTCGGTTTTATAAGCTTGCTTTATAACTTTTCAATTTACTAAAAACCCTTTTTTCTGCTATCTTTATGCTTCATATTGCTTTCCATTAATACAAGAAAACGAAAAAATAGTATTACTCGTCTATATTTCGAACCACTTGTCCAAATTAGCAATCTAAGCTTCTTAAAGTAAATGTTCAAGCACTCTTATAAATCTCTACCTCAAACTTTATGAATCATTGCAGAGCTTTAGCTAGTTAATCTTCATCATCCAATTGTTAACCAAATGTTCTAGGTAAAATGAGTAAGTTATTATGTGCTTAAAATTGGCCTGGAAGCATAAAATATTTTACCAACATTTTTTCATTTTTTAATTTACAAAACTATGATCCTATAGTAAAACTAGATTTATTTGATTTGTTATAAATAAGACAACAGGAACTTTTCTTCACAAAATAGAAGGAACTTTTCTTTAAAGGTCGGTCTCTTCCAAAAAGGCTATGAAAGTGTCATTAAGAAATAGATCATCCTAAGCTGTGAACAAATTCACTCAGAATAAAATAGAGAATTATTATACAGAAGATACAATTTTTGGGCAATCTTAAAACTTTGAAAATCTTTAAAGAGGGAACAAAATATATAACCGATTCTCCCAGTGACTGGTCCTTAGTACATAATAGTGCTGTGTTGGGCTTGGCATGACTCGGCGATGTCTTACTGCTGACATAATTGATATGGGCCACCTAGCACGGTTTTCTCCAAGTCTTCCATTTTCTGCCGGCCTTAAGTTTTCCTCCTTCTGCAGTTGGCGTGTGCCGTCCGTGGCTGTGTACACGCAATCCTGCTGGGCCAGGACTCCCGGGCTCCCGGAGGCACGCAAGTGGAGCTGGAATGGCTTCTTCTGGCCAAATTTCGCCAACCGTCAGCGGGTTTTTTTCGCTGGCGCTCGCCGCAATTCAGTTTAAACTTAACTCGCGACGGGCCAAGTACACAAAAGTCGAGCGACAAAAAAGAATTCCGTACCGCAGACCAACGAAAAAAAATTGGGAAAAAAGTGCTGCACAAATATTGGTTGTTGTCCCGTCATTAAAAGCGCATTTTGTTTTGCCAGCTAATTACGAAAGTGAAGTGGTGGGGTGGTAGAGACCCCAAATTGAGAGCCCCTACCCCGAAATAAAACAAGTGTTCCTCCAAGTGATGTATTCATTTCAAGTGCCAAAAAGCGGGCACGACATTGCCACAAAGTCAACCTCCACCTGAACTCCATGTCCGAGGGAGGAGGGTGTTGTATCTGGGCCAGCAGAAGTATCCGAGGAGCCATCGGCGAGCCGCTCCAGTCGGCTGACCGTCATCACCATGAGTCGTCTGAGGCGTGAAAGCAGCCGTCAAAGCGTCATCACCGTCGAGCTGATACAGTTCATAATTCAGTACCGCGCCCAGGAGACGCAGGAGAAGAAGAAAAGGTGCGAAAGACTAAGTGTTCGATACGATCCCCTGAGATCAAAGAGTGACCTCTCCAAAACCCAATGTTCTGTGTCTCTGAAGCGGAGCATGCCATGCTGAGCGAATGGTATTAAATACGGAATAACTCTACTGCAAAACCAAAAACCAACACGGCCAAAAGACCAGTAGAACAATGCAAAGCTCAGTGAATTATCTTGCTGGAAAATAAACATCCCAACCGCAGCACTTGGTAGGAAATGCACAGAAAATAAATCCACATGACAGACTGTCGCCGCAGTTTATAGGGAGTGTTATGCAGGAAGAATGTCGGGAAGGAGGGACCCATTTATTTTTTGGGGAACTTCATAGGGAAATTATTGGACCAGGAAAAGGGGATGCCAAGAAGTGAATGCTACAAAATGTGTGCAAGAAAAACGGGAGATTTCTAGTGTTACTGTATTTTTTTACAACTTGTGATAACAAATTTTATTTACTTAGGGACAGCAATGTGAATTATTAGTGGGTGTATAATGATGCTGATAACAACTTTTAAATTAAAAGATGAAATTTAACTATAAATAGATATTTATCCTGCCCGTTTGGTGTTTTAGTGAACTTAATTCATTTATTAGAATTTCTTTGTATTCTTAACATTTAAGTATTAGCGAACTTTTGGAAGAAAAATATTAACAACAACAATAATTTATTCTAGCACAGATCTAATAATGAATTTAGGAAACAATTGTATAGTTATAACTACACGAAGATTTTAGATTAATCACACAGAACAGAGAGCAATTGGGTGACCTTAGCTTTGAAACTAAGTATCGACTCTATCATCTGCTCCTTAATAGTTAGTTGTTATATTAACTAACTAAATATTTTAAAATAAAAGCTGAAAATTAATTATAAATAATAAAGATATTAATCCTGCTCTTTTGGAGTTTCTTAGTGACCTTAATGCATTATTTAAAAATTTCTTTGTGTTCATCACATTTAGGTCTAAGCCAACTTTGGTGAGAAAAATATTAAAAAATATATAATTTATTTAAGCACAGATCTAATAATGAATTTAGCAAAATATTGTCTGAAATAGGTTCTAGTTTTAACACCACGAAGATTTTAGATTATTCACAAAGAACAGAGAGATGACCTATGCTTCGAAATCTAGCTCATTAATAGTTCTTTAAATAACTTACTATTCACCTTTTTCTTATATTTGCTTTAACCTATTTTCCCATTTTCAATTTCTGAAGGAGAACTAGTTTGGGTAAATGTAAATATCACCTTAGTTATTTGAATAGGTACTTCAATTAATCCGCCAACTATAAATTACTTCTTGAAAACACGGCGCCCACTTAGACTCACCGGCAATCCGTTGGTTCTGAGTTAATGCAATGGTTCCACATAACCCACCGCAATGGCTGAAATCCCCTCATGGCGACCCACTAATCCGGGAGATACTCGACAATCTTCGCCAGAAACCGTGTGCAGGCGCCATAGATTAGTTGTGGGAAGAGGAAGCGACGGAGAACACTCACTGAGCTCTGAAGTTTGTCTAATTAACCATAATTGAATCTTCCGCTAATTTGCTTAAGTCAAAAGCGCTTCAGACAGTCTCCTGTCTCTTTCCCCCGCCTTCAATGTCTGTCTTTCTCTATCTCTCTCTATCTGAGACTTTCAGTTTCTAAGGAGCGCTTAAGTGCTTTGAAAAAATTTGTGTGGGTAAGAGGAAAATGCCAAGTAATGAGAGGAAAATGGGTTTCCGAGAAAAATGTCAACTTCGTTTAACGTTTTATTAGAAATTTAATATTCTCAATTTTTGACATCTAATATTTGTAGCTGTAAACTAATTGGGTTATATTTCCACTTGGAGGTATGGAAATTTAATATTGCTTTTGCAAAATTTCACTTGAAATTTAACTTACATAAAATAAAGTACCAGTTGCTCTTTCAATACCGATTCACATACTCACAGCCTCACAAAAGGATGTAATTTCAGAAAACTGATACCCTACTTGATGGTAAAATTTTGATATTTAGTGTGAGTAACAAGTGTTAAAAACATTAAAAACACATGTGCTTTTAAAACTTTATCAGAATTGGCATTCTATGATCCTTAAAGTGAACTCTCATAAATTGAGATGCCGTTTTTGCCATGTTTTTATTCAAAAACAAAAACATCTAGTTTTTGTAGCACCATCTTTGTGTATTTTTTGAATCAATATTATTAATATTTAAAAATGGCTAAATAAAAATTGTAAGCGTTTAGACTTTAAGCAAGTAATTATTTTATGTCTGAATGTTTTTTCCCTTCGATTGCCAAAGGTATTCCATTATCTCTGCTTGAACAATTGTTCAACTGTGGGTAGTGTCTAAGCATATATCATAAGAAATTTGAGATGGGTCCAGCTGGAGGGGAAAATGCACTGTTGTCATGGAAATGCATTGATTGGATCTCTGACAAAAGGAGGGACTTTAATGGGCCAATTATTGGGGATTTTGCAAACCGTGAGTGGGAAGGCAACTGTGTGCGAGTGTGGGAGCCAATTAGGAAGACTGGGTTCCCTTTGTAAACAAGTTGGCGACTTTGGCAAGTGAAACTTGTCGCCCTAGCACGAAGTCTTGCTGTTCCTGTTCTCGTTTTGATGTCGCACATAATATGCACAGATACTTGGCATGCAATTAAGAAAATCCGTTGAGTCGCCTCGACCACCCCATAAGACACACACAGAAACACCAACCGCCCCACATGCCACACGAAGCATGCTGCACTCTGCCCGCCTTTGTCAGCTTTTTGCATAGTAGCAACTTTTGCACACTCACTCTGCTCCCCAAAAACACACAAGACCACACCCCACCCGCCTCCAAACTTTTTGAGATGTTAACTAGCTAATGCAAACATACCTAGCTACCTATCTGTATCTATAAATGTTACTTTAACCAACAAGAACTACTTATTTTCCTCGCTCACTAATTAAACTTTTATCCGAAAACTAAACTTTCTTTCTACCCCGAACAATAAAAACTTTCCTTTTTCTGTGCAAAATTTTAATCAACACGAAAACTTACTTTTCTTTTTTAAATTGATATTGTTTTAGACTTGGCCTTTGTTTTGAGTTCAATTTAACTTTAGCTTTGCGAACTCGAAAGCAGATAACCAATAAAAGAGATTCGGTTTAATTTTGTACATTTATTGAGTATTGTTTTGGTAACTGATTAACCCGGAAAAAGCCAATTATGCGCAATCGAACTAATAAATGGTCTTCTTCTCCACCCACCCCACCCCAATCCCCTCCGAATGCAGGCGCCTGGCGGACGAGGACGATGAGCTGTCGGAGGTGCAGCCGGATGCAGTGCCTCCGGAGGTGCGCGAGTGGCTGGCCTCGACCTTCACCCGCCAAATGGCCACCAGCCGGCGCAAGAGCGACGAGAAGCCCAAGTTCCGCTCGGTGGCCCACGCCATCCGGGCGGGCATCTTCGTGGACCGCATGTACCGCCGCGTCTCCAGCTCGGCCCTCACGGCCTTCCCACCGGACGTGGTCAGGCTGCTCAAGGTGAGTTGGTTAAAATATGACATCCAAGTCCAAACCCAATTTGGATATCAAATCTGAAAGTACTCATCGAAACGAGTCAGACTTAATTTGCCGTTCCTCTGGCTTAGTAGCCGTTTGGATATTACAGCGACTTAAAGATTTGGTGTAAAACTCGATATATACACAGAGATAAATATTCGAGTACATGCAGAGATAAAGAGAAATATTCATGTACTCGAACAGTACAGTACAGAAATATTCCAGTACATGCAGAGGCAAAGAGAAATATTCATGTACTCGAACAGTACAGTACAGTACAGAGAGAAATATTCGAGTACATGTGTTCTTGAACTGAGAACATTCGTTCTTAAAAGCCGTGCATGTGCATTTTGGTATCAATGTTCTCAATACTAGAACGAAATGGTAAAAAGAGAAAAGTCAAATTGAGTTTATTTAACATCTTTATAATAAGTAAATACTACTGACTGGACTAATAGTTTTGATGTTGAGATTACAATGTAAATATCGCCATTTCAACTTGGTTCAAACACAATGCAAGCATTTTTAACTTGAACAAGGAAGAACGCTATAGTCGAGTACCTCGGCTATCAGATACCCGTTACTCAGCTATATGGAGATATGCAAGCAGAAAAGCGATATTAAAATGCGCCACCTACCGGCGGTATACAGATTTAAGCGTTATGGGCGTTAGAGTGGGCGTGGCAAATTTTTTTTTGGATCAATCGATAGGTATCGACGAGACCAATACATTTCAGTTAAAATTTTTTATCTAGCATGAAAATTGTGGGCGTCACAGGTTTTCGCGGTTTGTGGGCGTTAAAGTGGGCGTGGCAAACTTTTTTTTGGGTCAATCGATAGGTATTGATGAGAACAATACATTTCAGTTAAAATTTTTATTCTAGCATCAAAACTGTAGGAGCCACAGTTTTGGGCGGTTTGTGGGCGTTAGAGTGGGCGTGGCATTGTGCTGAAACAAACTTGCGCTGCGTAAGAAGCTCAGGAATCTGCACGCCAAATCTCAATAGCCTAGCTCCCATAGTTTCCGAGATCTCAGCGTTCATCCGGACGGACAGACAGACGGACAGACGGACATGGCTAGATCGACTCGGCTAGTGATCCTGATCAAGAATATATATACTTTGTGGGGTCGGAAACGCTTTCTTCTGCCTGTTACATACTTTCCGACGAATCTAGTATACCCTTTTACTCTACGAGTAACGGGTATAACTATATAAAAAAAATATTTGATTTCAAAAATTGTTCAGAGATTCATTTTGCATAAACAGTATTATTTTAAAAACTTTTGTGAACCTAAAACCTAAAACCTAAAATTTTTGCACGGTGTAGATAATAAACTGCACCAATTTCCTATAAAAATTAATATTAAAACTCCCTTTAAATGAAAATAATATATTTTTCATATTAAACTCAAAACAAATTTTCTAAATTAATTAGTGAAAAAACATAGCAGTAAATAAATAATACTAAAATATTCGAGATTGACATTTTGTATCTCATATGTGAGAGTAATTTTCACGGGGCAGCTCATCGCTGTGTATGGCAACCACTGTTGTACACTGTACTTTGGCGGCAGACACCGAGCAGAGCTTTTTGCCTTTGTCCGCTTAGTAAAAGACATTAATACATTCTTAAAGGAAATTTGTCTATTAATCACGAAAATTTTGCTGGAAATTCATGGTTTTAGCAAGTCCTCCGGAGTTGCACTACATGAATAACGTTAAGCTAGTTATTAATTCTCTATCGTTCCTGTTTCCTCAGAACCTGGACGACTGGACGTTCGACGTGTTCGCCCTGACGGAGGCGGCCAGTGGCCAGGTGGTGAAGTACGTGGCCTACGAGCTGTTCAACCGCTACGGGTCGATCCACAAGTTCAAGATAGCGCCCGGGACGCTGGAGGCGTTCCTGCACCGCGTGGAGGAGGGCTACTGCCGGTACAGGAACCCGTACCACAACAACCTGCACGCCGTGGACGTGATGCAGACGATCCACTACTGCCTGTGCAACACGGGCCTGATGAACTGGCTGACGGACCTGGAGATCTTCGCCTCGCTGCTGGCGGCCCTGCTCCACGACTACGAGCACACGGGCACCACCAACAACTTCCACGTGATGTCCGGATCGGAGACGGCCCTGCTGTACAACGATCGGGCCGTCCTGGAGAACCACCATGCCAGCGCCAGCTTCCGGCTGCTGCGCGAGGACGAGTTCAACATCCTGTCGCACCTGTCGCGCGAGGAGTTCCGCGAGCTGCGCGGTCTCGTCATCGAAATGGTCCTGGGCACCGACATGACCAACCACTTCCAGCAGATGAAGGCCATGCGGCAGCTGCTGACGCTCCAGGAGGCGACCATCGACAAGCAGAAGGTGCTGTCCCTGGTGCTCCACTGCTGCGACATCTCGCATCCGGCCAAGCAGTGGGGCGTCCACCACCGCTGGACGATGCTCCTGCTGGAGGAGTTCTTCCGCCAGGGCGACCTCGAGAAGGAGCTGGGCCTGCCCTTCAGCCCGCTCTGCGACCGCAACAACACCCTGGTGGCCGAGTCGCAGATCTGCTTCATCGACTTCATCGTGGAGCCCAGCATGGGCGTCATGTCCGACATGCTGGAACTGATCCTGGCCCCCATTGCGCCGATGAACAAGGGCAAGCCCGCCACCCTGGTGGAACAGGAGCCACCGTCCTCCTCGATCGTGATCCCCAACTCCGGGATCACCCCCAGCATGGACAAGCCAAGGGGCCCCAACGAGGTCAAGGCCACCGCCGCCGAGTGCCTCGCCCGCAAGAGCGTCACCGGCACCACCTCCAAGTTCAACATACCCAAGCCCTGGCTCACCTGCCTGGTCGAGAACAAGCGGATATGGAAGGAGCAGGCCGTCAAAGGTGGGTTGCTTGCACTGAGAAAAATTCGTAGTTTTAGTAAAGCCGCTATAAAAAATACAAAAATATATCCGGCTTTACAGAATATGTTTTAGAACCAGGAAACTGCTTTTTAAAATATGCAACTTCTGAATTTAAGAATATATTTCTACGATTATGAAATCATTTTCCAAATTTAGTGCCTTCCATTTTCTCCTTCTCTTTTAAAAAGTATTTATTTTATGGAATGGAAGTTTTTCAAATATTAACTTTCATTTTGAGACCTTGAAGTTGTTGTGTTAGAAAATTTATACCTGACAAAGCAAAATGTTATTATTTTGTTTAAATGGGAATTCAACTTTCAAACTGTAATTGAGTTTGGTTACCAAATATTAACAAAATTCCTTTAAAATTTAAAAACAAGTTAATTTACACAAAATGATAGCTTAATCAAGTAAATTTAATAGCTTTCGATGCAAATCAATAAAATAAATGCTAATCCCAGTTTAATGACATATATTTATGTACTTATAATTTATAAAATGGTAATTACCTAGAATCTGAAACGTATTAAACTCAACAAAAAATGTTGCTTAACAATTTAAAGGTAGTTTATAATGTATCAAAATATTATTTAAATATGTAGTCTTTGAGTGCAGTGCTTCTTTCATTATCATATTAATTGCCTGCCGACTTGGGCGCTTTCTGTAGTCACATTAACTGCGCTAATTGAGTTTGACCTGTCCTTCGCTTTGATCTGTCGTCTGCCATTGGCGTTCATTATTCATGCATAAACCTTCTTACGCAGAGCTCATGGAAAGGCGCCGAAAGAGCGGCCATTAGGCGAGTCAAGACCCCGTCCCATTCAAGACCAAGACCAATCCCAATCCCATTACAAACTAAAGTAAGTCTTCAAGAAAAAAATTTAAGGTTTTTGCTGGTTATAATAGAAACAGCAAATGTACCTTCACAATAAAATATTTCCAAAAACATCCAAGCAAGCAGTTAGACTTTATCTCAATTTTTTCCTGTCCCAAAATCATCATCTGTTTTCTCCAACCGATCCCACACACAAAAATCGATTGGTTAAATTGACCAAAATAATAGTAAAAGGATCCCAAACTATTGAATTGTTAATTTTACCCTCCAAATAGTAACTCTTACGTAATACGTACAAGTAAGGGTTACTATGAAAAATAGTTATGTAACTATAAAAAAGAGTGGAATGGAGCCAAACTATGGATTGTAGTTAAAAACCTATTTTTTTATTAATCCAACCCATAAAATATAGTTGATAAATTTTAAGTAAAGTAATTAGTTATAAATTATATTTATAGATACGGCAATTTGGAATATTAATTTATAAGCAAAATAAAAGATAGTAATTATCGAAATGCACTGTTAAAAACTGACTTCCAGTTAGTGTGAAAGTATGTTGAAGACTTAGGAGAGTATACGTTTTAAGTAAAGTCTTAACTTTTCATAGCTTGTTTTTTAATGTGCAATTCAAATATAGACTCAAACTTCTTTGATATTCATAATAATAATAGTTCGTGTCCTACCTTCAAATTCTATTTTTTTTTCTGAAAACCACTTTAAAAAAGTGTACAATAATAGCCTAGGGATTACAAATGCAGGTTGTCTAAACCATTTTCAGGTGCTCATCAGTAAATGTTAATTTAGTTTTTATTTAATTATAGAGTGTAAAATTCTAAAGAACTGAATTTGTTTTGCAGATGCTGAGGCCCGAGCTTTGGCCACGGCAGCGGAAGAAGCCGCAGCGGCAGCAGCGGCGGCGGAAGAGGAGGAGAACAAGCCGAAAGCGGAAGCGGAAACGGCCGATGGCGAACAAAGCGAGGCAAGCGCGGAGCCGGCAGATGGCGCTGCCGCCTAAACTGGCCACCACGCCACCTGTCGGGCAACAGAATGCAAAATACAAAATACAGACGGAGACTTGGGAACGAATACGGATGGCTACACTGAAAGAAACTGAGGAACGATGGGCTCCAAGAATTATGTTTACTAAGCTTAGAAGCAGTCTAGAATATTAATAACAAACCGCTTCTGATGCGCTCTCTATGTGAATTGTGGTAGAGTTAGACTAGTACATCATCTATATAGGCTTAGTTGCGGAACATAAATATCGTTATATATGTATAAATACTGTATACTTTGTTGTTGCAAGCGGAAAAACAATACAACACACAAGAAAACTTAAGGAAATATTAGGGCCAAGCACAAAACAAACAAACAAAACACGAGTAGATGTAAATAGCGAAGAGTTCAACTGAAATTTGTTGTGAATTTGTTGGTTCGTTGCGAGCATTTATATTTAGAATTGAGTTGTACTTGTCTCTTATTAGTTTTAGTCAAATGTGGAATTTACTGTATGATTTCTATAAGTTCGATGTATGCGATTTCGTTCTAATTAAATACATATATTTTTGTAACCGTTTCCATTTATTATTTTTCCCTTACTTTTGTGTGTTTGCATTTACCAAGCATTCGAATTGCTCAATTTAAGGAGTGGTTTTCGCAAAGGGACGACAGACTCTTCGGGAGCTGTCTAGATATTAAGTACCTAACTAAAACTAAACCAGAAAATACCTGACAACTAGCTATATGACTTGTACATACTCTCTCCACTGACCCCTAACAGACTTTGCCCTAAACCAAGACGAAAGCAGAGGATCTACAACTTTCCACTCTACAAATGCACATAGCTACCTATACGAAAGGATATTTAATATGTATTGTTAAGGATATAATAGTCACGTTTCTACAAACATATTTATTTTTATACGAGAGAGCGGGACGAAAGTGTAGGGACGACGAGTGGGGCTTGAGTCGCAGGAGGTTTTGATTTCCTTTCGTTTCGGTTTTCTTTTCTTTAACCAACTTGAAATGTTTTCAAACGTTTTTCAAAATGTCTGATAGCGGGACCATTCTTTTAAGATTTACCACTGCTCTTTACCATCGAACAGGAGCAGGATAAAAAGGGGAAAGCCCACCGGAAATGAGAGGAAATTGGAGAAAGCGATTGGGAAACCCGGACAGACCGCGTCAAAGGGCAGTGGTAAAAGTGCTTAGCAGTAAGGTACCAAATTATCAGCTGAAATTGGGATCATAGCTTTATTAAGGTAGTCAATAAATGTACGAACAAAAGTGGTGCAGATGTGTATAGCGGTGGGAGGCAGCATACCATGTCTACAAGTAGCCACAAATTAAAAACAAACACAAACAGAACAGACGTACACAGCAGATTAATCTACTCCTAACCATTAATGGGATAAATATAGCGACAGAATATCTATTATGTGAACGTAAATATTATTGAACAAACAGTGTATGTTATAATGTATATCAAACTTGAACGCTCAAAGCGATGCGCATATATGTATATCGTATATATAGCGACCTCTCTCAAAAATCTGTACAAAGTCCTGATAACCTAGCGTTAGTTGCTGTAACACAGGCCGCAGACCTTCTTCAACCAAAAGCAAAGTTGTTATTTATCTCTGTTGAAAAATTAGCAAACTACAGAAATACTAATCGAACGTATGCATATGGATATATATGAGGTTTACGATTCAATGTTATTAGCAAAAGTAGTCTAGTGGTATCATAAACACCCATATAAGACGACATATTATGGTTCCAGCCGATGTGCAAAGTCGTTACCAAATAAAACTTTGGGATGCTATGTCCCTACCTTAGCCGATGGAACAATATGGAATACACTTGCATACAGTATATGTATAAGTTGAAAGCAATCATTACATTTAAATAATATAAAATATTTAAATAAAAACCCTAATAAAAATATAAAAATACATTTTGTGTAAATACAACTTGCACAGGATGCAAAAAGATATAGAACATTAGCAAAATGCACTCTATCTAAAGGTAATTAAATAGCCAATCCACAACACCCAAGGAAATCCCAACCAAAACCGAAGTCGCATATTACTGAGATCTGTAAATAACTTTGTTTCATCTACTCATTTCTAGCCCAGTTATTTATATATCGAATAAGCAAACTAATTGTGTACTTTACAAGTTTTCGCAAAACAAAGCCTACTAATGAAACGTTTTTAATTTTCCTACTATGTTAAACTCAACATTTAATATGCATAAACTAACGGCGATGGTACCAAATGCAAAAATATTTCAGAAAAATGAATATGGCTGAGATGTATGCTTATTACGAAATACTTTCAAGTAAATTATAATAACACCATATGACTTTTAATATACTAATAAAAATTCTTATTAAACCTAAGCGAGGGTGTTTTTTTTAATGGGCAAACATTTGATTTGTTTAGACCAGGGAACAAAACCAGAACCGGAAACGTTAACCGATATCAACCGATTCAATAATGGGAATCCGGTTCTAGCACCGGGGTATATATTTGTTATGGGTCCTTATTCATTCCATGAATATATTTTATAGTATTTTTGGTATAGTAGGACGGACACTACTAATTTGCTTTTTGCAACGCTTTACAAAAAATAAATGTTCTGCGCAGTGTAAATTCTGGATGTCGACATACTATCCATCTATGTAAAGTAAAATACGTGCGTCAAATTACCTTACGTTAAATGTGGAACGTAGAATTTGAATTGGTCTGGTAGCACCGTATTTTACTTTTTCCCTGCGGTATTATACTAGAACTTTTGATATTTCTAGTATTCCTCTCCGAGCCGGATGGTATATTCGCACTAACCATCAACGGCCCGCTATTTATCGATATTTATAAAATACGATACATTTCCTTTTCGAGCAGGTAATTAAACTAAAAACGCGAGGAAAACGGCTAAGATGTGTGAAAAGTGGCAGATTAAGTGAGCGCCAAGCTGGCGGCCATCGCCTCATCAGGGTGTTAGCGGTTATAGATGCCCGATTTGGGATTACTGCCGTTTGGTGGCCATTCGTGGGTGTTTCTCCGGGCAGAGGCCGAGCAGCGCTGCCGGCGTCGACGGCGACGCCAGCGTTTAATTCATTCATTCACTCCATGATTAATGTGCGGGGAAAAACGCTCCAACGTTTGACAGTGATACGGCGATCTGAAACTGGGCCATCAGTTGCGACCCCGGTGACGATTTGGCCAATACCCCGCAGTTCCCCTCCGTAAACAGAGTCACAAGTTTCGCTGCCGCCCCGCCCCACCAACAAAAAATATATCGGAGTCGTGCTCCCCCTACAAAAAAGAAAATAAAACAAAGACCTCGCCAAATTAGGCAACTTGCAGCCCACTGTCGTGCCTGGGGTTAATTAATTTTTGCACAACAATCTGGCCGGCCTCTAAGCCAAAACGATTCCGCCTATAAACAGAGCAAATAAACGGTAGATAGTAAAAATTTGAAGGCCCTCAGGTCGAATTCGGAAATACTCTGGCCCAACTATCCCCTTTTGAACGGTCCGTCAAATATTTCAATTTCGTCATGTGATGTCTGTTCCATTATCTCAAAAGTTATTATCATCATATCATATCTTCAGCCACCTTTCCCTACAATTACAATCTACTTAAAAACTTGGAAAATTATATTGGTGTCTCTTGATGTTTCTATATATTAAAGACAAATTTCATAACTTTTAGTATTGCATTTTATATAACAGACTGTTTTCAAAGAAATAACAATTTGTACATTGTCATTAACGTTATTTAATGTTTTATGGCCATTTTGTAATCAGTAATAATTATGAAGTATTCGAAGACAATGTAAAGTTGTATTTCATTATCAAAACACCCAAAGCGATCAAAAATATATATCATAGCACAAAATGATGAACACAAAATGTAGTAATATAATAGATCATATAAATAGTAAGTCCATGTCCAATAATTTTTATGAATGTTATAACAACAAATCGGGAATATCTGTAGTAGTACAGGATAATAACAGGCTCTACAAAGTGGAATTACATTCCCTCTTTATGGGTAAAACTCCTCTAAAGTCCAATAATACCCCTTTGGAGGGCAACACAATTATTAATAATGGGTTGGGGGATGAGTACAGATTTGTAGATAAGATCGCATAGAATCCGGAGCTAATCGTTATCTTTCTTTGCAGCCAACGCTCGACCGGCAGCGGTAATTGTGGAGCGATAGAAACGCCAGCGCCATGCCCATAGACATAGACGCACGCCGACCAAGTGCCAAAAGCGAGAACCGAGCGTGAGCGACTGCCAGGAGCAGGATCCGTACCCGGAGTCCATCCGCTAGTCAAGAGAGCGAGAGTGCCAAGCCAAGTTGCATTTAGTTTGAGCCCCCGACCAACCCAATCCACGGCGAGATGGGCAACAAGAACTCGTGCTGTGCGTACTCCAGTCCGCAGTCGGACCGCAAGTCCAAGGACATGCCGCCCGTCTTCGAGGAGCGCCACCAGCTGAGTCATCCGCCGCACACGTCGCAGCACCAGCTGGATGGCCACCACGGATCCACGTCGGCGGTGCACCTGCACCACCACCACCATGGCCATCACCAGCAGCAGAATCAGCAGGGCGGCGGAGACAACTTCGAGAACCAGCAGAATCTGCAGCACATCTCCGAGCGAGAGGCCCTGGAGGGCGAGGAGGATCCCTCGGTGGATCCCACGGCGGCCACCATGTTCCTGGAGCGATCCAAGGTGGAGAACGGTGGCATGACGAGGAAACGTTCGCAGCAGCAGATTGCCCAGCAGGCGGGAAGCGGCGGAGGCGGTAGCACTCCAGGAGGCAACAGCTGCGGCGGTGGCGGCGGCATGAAGAAGAGCTCCTCCTGTTCAACGATCTATCTGGACGACAGCACTGTGTCGCAGCCGAATCTGAAGAACACGGTCAAGTGCGTCTCGCTGGCCATTTACTATCACATCAAGAACCGTCAGTCCGACCGGCGGCTGGACATCTTCGATGAGAAACTGCATCCCTTGACCCACGACCAGGTGCCGGAGAACTACGACACGCACAATCCGGAGCACCGGCAGATCTACAAGTTCGTGCGCACGCTCTTCAACGCCGCCCAGCTGACGGCCGAGTGTGCCATCATCACGCTAGTCTACCTGGAGCGGCTGCTCACCTACGCAGAGCTGGATGTGGGTCCATGTAACTGGAAGCGCATGGTGTTGGGTGAGTTTGGCTTCGAGCTGTTTTGTAAACAGCGCTGCGGTACCACTGAATTGTTGGGCTTAGCTTTCGGAATGCAGTACAATAACATCCATAACGCAGGGAAATATAATCTGGATATGGAGAATTCAAGACAATGAATTAATTTTGCAATTCATTTTTGTAAAATTGGTTTTCATAAAGCTTCTGTTAGCATTTGCTAGAGAAACTCAACCCTGTAAATTGTATTTGTTCAATTTTAAATATTTAGCAACACGGATCCAATCAAAACTAATAAACAAATGAGCCTTGAAAATAAAAAATCTTTTGCAATTTGGCCAAAGTTAAAAATTTTTGGCAAATATGACTTAAAATAGATAAAATCAAAGAATTTTTAAATTGAACTTTTTTCTTATCATATTATTAAAATTCTTTGATAAAATAATATTCACCAAAATCATCTACTTCCCATTCTTTAATCAATCTTGTGTTTCATCTTTCTGCATTTATCTGCAAAGTTTTTTTAACATATATTCCCGTTAATACAAAAGTACTAACTATCCTTTGCTGATTTCCCCAGGTGCCATTCTCCTCGCATCGAAAGTGTGGGACGATCAGGCCGTTTGGAACGTGGATTACTGCCAGATACTCAAAGACATCACCGTGGAGGACATGAACGAGCTGGAGCGCCAGTTCCTCGAGCTGCTGCAGTTCAACATCAACGTGCCGTCCTCGGTGTACGCCAAATACTACTTCGACCTGCGGACGCTTGCCGAGGCGAACGAGCTAAACTTCCCCACGGAGCCGCTGTCTAAGGAGCGGGCCCAGAAGCTGGAGGCCATGTCGCGGGTGATGCAGGACAAGGTCACCGCCGAGGCGCTGAAGAACGGGATCAAGAAGTGGTCCTCCATGGACAACATCAGTCAGGGCGGGCCGCGCCGTAGCGTGGCCATACTATCGTGATTTATATTAGCTTACTAAAACAAAACAACCATCGGCAGCAATGAGTCAAGAGATCTGTATTCTGTAGTCCGTAGTCCGATCGAACGTAATTTGAGAACCGTAGCTCCCCCGATTCAGATTCATTTCGTAGGCCACCCGGTTGAATAAACTTTGCGGGAGGGTTTTTAGCCAGCACTCTAAAGGAGCATCCACGCCCACACCTAAATACGTGCAGAGTCACACTCGTATATATACACAAAAACGTTTTAACCACACGTCTCGAATTAAGGACCACTTTTTACATATACATGCGACGATGTATATTCTTGTAAGCGAAACTACCGATTGCAGTCAAGGATTTGGATGATTTTAACTGAGACACAGAAGTACTACAGCAACGCGTAACCAATTGCCAAACGAAAAATCACAGATACAGTAGAGAATTGTTTGTAAAAAGGCTTAAATATTGTAATTGACTCGGCCACTCTGCTGGCATCTAATCAATTTAATCTCAACGGTTGGCCTCGGCTGAGAAATCGTCATTTACTTAGCGTCCGCGCCCAGAACATTTCCCTGTACATTTGTTACGAATTTAATTTGTTTACTTTGCCCCATTTTCTTAATATCTTAATATGATTTCGTGTGATTCTTATAGTTTCCATTTAGCTTTATACGATGAACGATATTCGGCTTCCCCGCATCAGGCTTTAGGCACAAAACCAAGGGGCGCGGCCTGCGGCAGTTGATTTGTTTTTTGGTTCTTAGCATTAGAAAACCAACAAATATGAGCAAGAGTATGAAGAGCACAGCGCAATATTAACCCAAAAGATTTGTGAGTAAATTAATGTACTAGACATATAAGGATACGAATTATATGCAAAATGTATTTTATTTTGTAATTTATTTTACGATAAAGCTAAATAAAAGCAAATCAAAGAGGAGTTGTGTCATTGCTTGAGAGCCAAGTATAAAATACATCCAATGAATAGTAATGAACGTATGTCAAAATATAAAATATTTACTAGATTTGGGATGATTTTCAGAATTTTTGGATAAACTTAAAACAATTTAAAATTTTCTGGATTTTAAAATTTGGGACGATGATCAAAAACTCGTAGTTGGAATAACAGGCATAAAATGAAAACATCAAAAATAATTCAAGGAAAGGATGTAGATTTTGCTAAAATACTAATTTTTAATGTTTTTTGCGTTACATTTTGGAAGTACATCCGTATAATTGTAATATCCCTACCTCCCACAATCAACAAATCTATCATTTTTTGAAGAAGTACCCACATAACTTTACATTTTGAAACCAATTGGCCTACAAATATTTAAGATGTAAATATTTTACTGATTATTGAGTGTATCTATTTTTAACATAAAATTAAACTTATATTAATTTTTTGTGGCATAAAAGTTTTTTGTAACCACTTTATTTAAAATATTTTTAACGGTAAAGTTAACATCTAAAATGTCTGCTAACTGAATTAGTTAACAGTGGTCAAGAACTAGAAGTAAGCTATCGATAGTATCGATTTTTCAGCGTGACCTTTTGGAATATAATCGGTACATTTGACTAATTAAACGGTATATTTATTACTTTATTTTTTACAGACTCGCCTCGATTGGCAACATCTTATCTTGCTGTGTTTAATATATATAACATAATATAGAATGGAATAAAATTTAAATAATCACAATAATGAAGTATTGAATTAGTATATAAATACTAAAAATCCCACCGAAAGTTCAAGACAAAATTGACTAAAATCCGATAACATGCCGTTATCGGTACCGTCTCCTCTCTTCCGCCCGCAACTTAAACTCTGGATCCGCGTTAAGTGTTAAGAAAATAAAGACACCGATCTAATTAATTAACCAGCTGTAAGATTACGCTGAATAGTGCGCGCAATGCAGTTAGTGACCAGATGAGAGTGATAACCGGGATCGAGGAATATACACCTAGATCGCCATTGAAAAATTCGGAAACGGCGTTTGTCGACGAGGGACGCTACTGCAACCAGAAAAAGGAGTGGTAGCTGCTGGTCTGTTTTGTGGATTAAAACTATCTCATCGCTGGTGAGTAGTATTCGAATTGGCGAGTCCTGCATTCAAATTGGCCAATTGGACCCGGTCCACTTTTTGTGCTTAACCATTTTGCCGCCTTTTTGTGCCCAAGCCCCGAAAAAGCAGCACTATAGGGTATGGCGAGGGGGTGGAGGGAGAGGCAGAGCAGCGGCAGCGAATCGTTAATAAGAACAACGCAATCACACGCACACACATGCGGGCTCTAGCACGCATTGTATCTGTATCTTGCGGTGTCTCTCGTATTCGCTCTCGCTCTCTCGCTGCCTCCACACCTCTTACTAGTGCTCTGCACTTAGCTATTTTGTAGCCAGATTCGGCTAGTACTGTAATTGCAGGTGGCTGGTTTATTTGATTTCCGATATTTAGTTTAGTAGAATATAAAGATTTTAGTAGGGTTGTGAAAATATATAAAAAATATTGATCGATACTATATTTTTATATATTTTCAAAACCCTTCTAAAATTCTTATCTTCTACTAAATTAAAGGTATATATATATTTTTTTTTTAAATATCAAATGGATAAAAAAAATAAAAATAAAATAGATTTTCTCATTTGGAAATTCAGAAAATTTAAAAAAGGGAATTTGTTTAGCCCAATGTTCAGTAACTTTACGTCACTAAAAATGAAATAAATTAAATTTCTGATAAAAAATCAGATCCTTTATTTCCTTTCCGTGTTTATGTGTTAAATTTAACGTGAAATTTTGTTTGTGTAACATGACGCTTATTTCGTGTTTGTGTGTCAATTTTACTACGAAATTTTATGTTAGTAATTTTCTTTCTAATATACATTTAAGTAAACACTTATAATAAAAAAGATTTATTGTTGTTTCGGACCATTCTAGGTTAATTAGTGCAATACAGTTAGTTGAGTTGAATATGTGTATGTCAAGTACCGCCATAAAAAATTACAAGTTGAAATATATAAATACAAGGGTGCCATAAAAATATAGAACGTAAGAATTCAGCCCGCATTCAGCACAAAGTGATGCACAAAGTGCAGATTGCCGCATTATTTATTATTAGCGAATACAAATCTTGCATCGCGCCCATATTGTTCATTTTGCTACTTCGTTCCAGATCAGAGTGACAATTAGGAAATATCAAAAATATATTTAAGAAATAGCGATATATGTGATATATCAGGGACAAAAATATCACGATACAAATGAGGATCAAATAAAGTGCCTGTTAAGAAAACTTAGTTTTCTCGAAGCTCATGTTAAACTTGAAGCCGGGGTAATAGAGATCCAAAATAAATAGACAACAGATATTTAAGTTACGGGCGGATCAAGAGAATTCTATTTGGAGGTAATTTTAGCTGGTCGTTTTGTTAAATCAAGGGGAAAATCCATTATTTTATTGCTAGGAGCAGCTAGTGCTAGCTAAATATTTAGCCATCACTGCCTCCTACCAGTGATGCGTGGGCCATACAAAGGATGGCCACAAGTGCCAAGAGAGAGGATGGCGGATTGTCAAAACTTTAAATAAGAATATCAAACAAAAGCAGAGCGACTGTCTTCAGAAGTTCGGCAGGTAAAACTCCAACTGAGCCCCGAGAGAGATCCTCTCGCCAAACCGGCTGCACTGGCTCTCCCACCGGACTTTTGTGCTTTCGGCTGCCGCCCGAACGCGCCGCACGAAGAACTTTACATCGCTCGCCTTTGCCTGCTCGCCTTCTGCTGCCTCCGCGTCTCATTCAGTTTTCAGTTTGCTTTGCTCTGTTCGCCGTTCACCACCGCCTCTCACCCGCGCGGCGTTTCGATTCTGATTGCCACTACTGTTGCACACACACACACACGGCCGGAGAGTGTGCCCGTGTGCCCGCCACCACCACCACCGCAATATCAAGTAAATTTTCATATACTGGCGTCATAAGAACGAACAACCGTACTTTTAAAAAGCTTGTAAAAACTGCAGTGCCGCTGGTGGGTTGGGGAGGGGGTGTTGGGTAGTGGGGGGAGGGGGTGGCAGAGGGAGGAACGGGGCTGATTGGAAACAATTGTGTTTATTTGTGAAATTCGCAGGCAAAAAGAATGCGAGAAATATTAATCAAATGACTTTGCGGTCGACTTTGCTGCCAGTGTATTGGTGTGCTGTGAGAGTGCGAGAGTATCTGTGTTGTGTGTGAGCTGCGCACATCCACAGCCACAGAGTTCCCATTAACGTCATCATCGTGTCATTCTTGCAAGAAGGCGAAGGAGAGAGGCGCGGAGACGCAGGGTTGCATTTTTCAGAAATTTATTAACATTATGCCACTTGAGGCGATCGGCAGCGCTCTTTAAATTGGCACTTTTCGCCGCCATATGTTGGAACGAAACTTCCGATTCCGCCGATTCCTTTGGCTTTTCCAATTGCCTGGCCTAGGTACCGTACGTTCGCCTATCTGTTTTGTTTAACAATTATGAAATGCACACTAATTGGCTGTAATGAAAATGTGACTCTCCAACTCGATCCTCCCGCTCTCCCTCTCCTTTCTCCCCATTCGATTCGCCGCTCTCTCGCTCGAAATTTGAGCGACAGCCAAACAAAATTAAAAATAAAAAGCGGCAGCGGCGGCAATAATTATAACTATAACTCGGGTTTCGGATCTCGGCATATAGAATGTGAGCCAAAAGGCAAAACTTGTATCGACGCGCCGCCTGTACTCGCTTCGCCGTCTCTCTCGCTCTCTTCCTCTCGCGCTCGCCGCTCCGCTCTCTCAGCTTTCATTTTTTTGTCTCGCCTCGCTTTATTTTGTACTTACGCTTTGCGATTCAATTCGTTTTTATTGGTTTTCCGCTTTAGGCGGCTGGGAATTGTACGTAGCGTCGTTCGTGCAAAACGTTGTTGTTGCTGCGCCAGGGGGGGTGTCGGGGGGTGGCGTTGTCGTTCAATGAATAATGAGAGACAATGTAAGGCAAAGAGCGCGACAGAGGGAGAGAGACGGGGACAGACAAGAGCGAGCGAAACGAGAACAAGACAAAAAAAAAAGCAAAGCAAAAGTGCACGAAAAGCAGTGGGCAAGGGAACGAAGAGGAGGAAAAAGATACAACTTTTTTCCCTGCTGGCAGCCAAAAGCAAAGCACGGTGGGGAGAGGGAGAGAGCGAGGAGAGGAGGCCCCCCGTCTAGAATCTAGAAGAAAAGCAGAGGAGACTGGCTGAGATGCACGCACATACAGCTCTTCTAGATATAGATACAATTAATTTGATTTGTTAGCACCGCTCGCTCGCCCGAATGGGGAATAGTTGGGAATGTAAAATTTGCAATACCCCCTCCCCTGCCCCGCAACCCGATCCGCCCCTTTCAATTCCAATTCCCATTCCCTTTCCAATTAGAGTTAGAATATTTTTGCTCTTCTTTCCACGCAGACGCAGCTTTGCTTTGGATGTGTTTGTGTTTGTGACTTTTGCATATATTGGCTGCAAATAAATTTTCGCTTGATTTGCTTTCGCCCCCCTGTCCGCTCTGCCCACATCCATCCCATGCATGTGTGTGTGTCTGCGTGGAAGTGGGACTGAAAATGAAACTGGAAGCAAAGGGAAAAGGGGAAGACTGTACCGCGGGCCGTTTGAATATTTCGCGTAAACATAAACACCGCAAACAAACTGTTGCTCACTGGTTATTATTGTTGCCATGTCTCCTTTCTCGTTTCTGCTCGCAGGTGGCCCAAAGGAACGTCCATATCAGAATATACCTTTAAGTCCGCTCCTGGCTCCGGGCCAAAAAGAGAACCACATGAGGTAAGTGATTTCAATTGCTGTCACATTGGAATACAGGGTGACTTCACCGCTCACCACCCAAAGGGTAATTCCACCCCAGTTATTACGGAATATTTTGTTGTGCCATATGGCCCATTGTTTTCATAAAAAACTGCGTTTCTGAAATTTATAATCCTTTCCGTAAACAGAATTCGGTGGAAAACTACTGCACTCGAATTTTATTTTGATATTTGTTTGGTTTCCCCGAAGTAAAAAAAAATATAAGTCTAATGATTATGCAAATTTTTGAGAATTAATTGTTAGCCCAGAAAATGTAAGAGCTAGTTCTAAAATCCACGTTGTTCCTAAAAAAATAATATTGTTAGGAACACCTTTGCCGAAAACATTTAAACAGTAGAGGGTTTTCATATTCCGGCTGTAGGATAGGTTATTGGGGACCAAATATTGCGTTATTTTTATGCCTTAAGGGGATGTTTATAACGACACGCTTCATGAATAGACTGTCATCGCTTGCGAAATATGTCCGCCAAAAATGTTTACTTTCCTTTAAAAGTTTATTAAAAATTGATTCGTTGGTGTACTTTATCAAGATAATATTTTTCCATTTGTTTCTGAGGAAATATATGTACATGGTGCTTATGAAGTTAGGATCTGATGATTGGCGCAAACTACTTCAATCTTACCACAAATATAAGACCAGGAAAATACTACAATATCTTACATCAGAATAATTCTTTTTCAACTGTTTCTGAGAGATGATACATGGGTGCTTATGAAGTTAGGATCTTGTGACTGGCGATTGATAATTGGCTAAATTTAAAAGTTGTCTTATAGATATGATCACACTCCCCAAGTTTCATTTAAATTGTTAGGAAGAAATTCTTTTACGAACCGGGAAACCAGGAAGTTTACGTTCGATCAGTTGCCCAAGTGCTAAGGTTTTTGACCCTCGTTTGCGGTTTGCACTCGATTAATTCGTTTCATAGCGATGCTTGAGTTACAGTTACTTAATAGGGCGTGGGGTCCACCCCGTTGGAGATTGGGCCATTCGTCTTGTGTTTTGTGCTTGGCTTCATCAGCACTTTACATGCCCCAACCGAAACCCGCCCACTTTTTTGTTTTTCTGCCCGGGCTTGGCACTCGCACACATGTGCGTGCACGAGATATATGTATTTGCCCGTTTGCACACACACACTGGAATTCATTCCTACCTCACCACATTAAAAGTGGCGCCCTTTTTAGTGTCCTTTCTCCCGTTCTGCGCTCTCCTCGATGTTTGCTGAATTATTTGCTCCAGCAAAACAAGAGAGTGTGAGAGAGCAATCAGTGGGGGAGCCCTTCTCTCTCTGCCATTTGCTTAGCCTGTAAGCTGTAAGCTGTAACTGTAAAGCGCTTAGCGAAAAGGGACAAAACCAGGACCTATGCAAACACTCCCCTCTTCTCCCGCTCATGCGCGCGCTCTCCCTCTCTATGCTGCTTGCTCCCCCTCCTCTCCTCTCCCGCTTTTACATCTATCTTTAATTCGCAGCTCGGTTTTTCCTAAACACGCACACACTTACGCGTTGTCTTTAATCGATTTGTACTTCTTGATATTTACATCGGCCCCCTCCCCCACCCTTTGCTCTCCCCCGCCCCGTAGCGCGCTCGCTCTCTCACTCTCTCCTGCTTGCATTCTCTGATTGGATATCTAAATCCTGGATCCTGCCCCTCCCGCAGTTCACCAGCCTCAAATCCCAGCTCCACTCCCTTTTTTCGTTTCCCTTGTCATTCGTTTTGCTGCCTTTTGCCATTTACAATTTATATAAAGTTATTTCATTGTGCTCACTCCGCTTCTGGCCCTTCTTCTTCTTCTTCTTCTTCAGCTGATGAAGACATACAGCAATATGGGTATGTGTTGGTATTGGTATGGGCGTGGGTGTGAATGTGAGTCCTGCGGTCCGCTAATGGGCAATTTATATCACTTTTAATGCCCGGCAGCAAAATCAATAAACTGGCCAACATCTTTTTACATAAATTAGTCCTGGGTGTTGATTGTTTGCTGTAAGTGTTTGTGTGTCTGTGTGTGGGTTAGGGCTCAACTGTACTTGCATAATGTATGTACATTGTACACACATGCAGATGACATTCGCATTGTTGAAGGGTTAATGGTCGCACATTGCACTGCAAATCCCTATGTCCTTCAACAGCAGGGTCTTGACAACATAAGAGAAACTCCCCCACTGTGAGTTCACCTTTTCTCCTCCGATCATCGTGAAACCTAGCATATAGATAGGCTCTGAGGACGTTTTGATGCTGGCCAAACGCCTTAAGGTATGCATCATTTTTGGAAATGGCAATACAGCTGGGAGGCATTAGATTTTCCTAATCACATGGTGAGCCGTTCTATATGGAGTTCTAGGTGGAGTTATTCAGATTTAAAGAGGCGTCCCCAGCCCTGAACTTAATTATTGGATGTACAATGTATTTCTTTTTTGGGTATAGTTATTTGGGTGCAATACTTTAAACATAGACTTAAAGTGGCAAGGTATCAGTGCATTTGTAACATAGCGGTGCAGTAAACCACCTTAACTAAAGACCGAATCCCAATTCAAATTGTATTTTACTGTTCAGAAGGAAACTCTTTGCCAATCACAAGAGTTTCCAGAATCGCCCATGTAGTCTCTGTAGCCTGAAAGTCCTTATGGGCTTTACATAGAACTCATGCGGGATAATCCGACTGGCTCAGGTCTATTCTTTTGAATGTTGTTTTTTTGTTTAATCAATCAATAATTATACTGTCGAGGGCAACTGAAACTAGTATTTTTTATAAGGGCTTACGATCTTATAATATATTTTGAATGACTTTTTTTGTAACTGGAAGGCTATTAAAACTGTATACGTAATGTTTGCCTTTTGAAAAAATGCTCTGAAAAATAAGAAAACGAAACATTTTTTTACAATACCCATTTATTTATTTCATTTGGTGTACTTTATCAAGATTATCCTTTTGTCAACTGTATCTGATTTATGTATTTATTTAAAAAAAAATTCAAATGACACAGTTAAAAAATGACAATTTCTTGCTAAAGCCTATACAACAATGAAATGTTATCTGATATGATATTTATCATCCATTCAATCCATTCATAATTTCACTCACTTTAACACCTTTATAGATAAATGCCTTCTCAATCCAATAGATTTGATTTCTATAAATTCCATCCATTTCCAGGTGAACAATAGGAATTGGCTGTGCGCCAATTACACACTCACACGGATCAGCTGTTACAGCAGCAACACACCCACACCCCACAGGAGCAGCGAGAGCAGCAATTTCATGGTAATTGTCCCCGTCAGCGACGACAGAAAAGACCAAGAAAAAAACCTGAGCAGCCAGAGATTAAGTGACACCACCTCCACCTTCCACTTGCATTTTTTGTTTGTTGTAGCCACGCTCAGCGAAAGCAGTCGACAGCAGCAACAACAGCAATATGTAGGCGCTCCACAGCAGCAACACATGAAATACAAGCAAGAACAGCAGCAACCAACCCCAACAACAAGAAAAATACCAATAATTCCTAAAACTACACCACAACATCATCAAGATATAGAAACCCGGGAACGAGCAACGCCACAACGATCGCCCGGATCTGGACACAAGAATGCAGCACGTGAGCGCTGCTAGCTCGGTGCCATCAGTAGTAGCCCCTGTTGTGACCACTGGTGGGACGACGATCACCTTGGGCGGCCCACCGCCGCTCCCCAAATCGGAGCACAAAGAGGATGGCAAGCCACCGCACGGCATCGAGATGTACAAGGTGAACATCGAGGACATTTCGCAGCTCTTTACCTACCACGAGGTCTTTGGCAAGATCCACGGCGATGTGGTCAATCATCAATTGGCGGCGGCCCACGGGGGTCAGTTGCCACCACCTCCGCCGCTGCCGCCGCAGGTCACCAGCCATGCGGCGAGTGCAGCGGCAGCCGCAGCAGCGGCGTCTACCAACAATGCCGCCGTGGCAGCGGTAATGGCCTCGGCGAATGCAGCAGCGGCCGCGGCGGCGGCTGCATCGGCGGGGGGAGGACTACCGCCGGCCACCAGCGGCAATGGGGGCCAGCAGGTGACGGTGACGACGACCAGCAGCTCGACGAGCAGCGGCGGGAGCACCACCAGTGGGGGCACCACGACCACGGCGGGTGAGTTGCTTATGCCTAAAATGGAGGGCGGCATTCATGGCGTGGACGGCAGCGGCAATGGCGGCAATGGCGGCGGGCAGAACGTGGCGCTGGCGCCGGACGGTACGCCCATTGCGACGGGGACGCACGTCTGCGACATCTGCGGCAAGATGTTCCAGTTCCGGTACCAGCTGATCGTGCACCGGCGCTACCACAGCGAACGGAAGCCGTTCATGTGCCAGGTGTGCGGCCAGGGGTTCACCACATCGCAGGATTTGACGCGCCACGGCAAGATCCACATTGGCGGGCCCATGTTCACCTGCATCGTGTGCTTCAATGTGTTCGCGAACAATACGAGCCTGGAGCGGCACATGAAACGGCACTCGACGGACAAACCGTTCGCCTGCACCATTTGCCAAAAGACCTTTGCCCGCAAAGAGCACCTGGACAATCACTTCCGCTCGCACACGGGCGAAACGCCCTTCCGTTGCCAGTACTGCGCCAAGACGTTCACGCGCAAGGAGCACATGGTCAACCATGTGCGCAAACACACGGGTGAGACGCCACATCGTTGCGATATTTGTAAGAAGTCCTTTACGCGCAAGGAACACTATGTTAACCACTACATGTGGCACACTGGTGAGTGTGATTGATTGGTGGGGGCGGACAATGCGAGCGGCGAGCGCCAAAACAAAAAGCCAGATCAGAATCTCTCAGAACTTAAAACCAAAATAACTCCAAGACCAGTCAGACCAAATTCTATCCATAGAGTACAAGAACAACAACAGCCATCACCACATCACACCAACCAACCAACCAACCAAGAACCAAATCAAAAATTCAACCAACCAACCAAACCAATCAAAAAGAATTGACAACAAGCACCGCAAAAAATATAATAACTTCATCGTGCGTCCTACGTCTTCTTCCACCCACTCTCTCACACTCTTCTATCTTGCTCATCGCTTGTGCTTTTTCTACCCGCCAACTCCCACAGTCCCGCCCACTGTACTCACACAGAGAGAAAAAATAGAGACTCAAATTGGTCATTCATTTGGTACCTTTCCTGTCAAAATATCTATCTAAAACTCGTGATGATACTTAAAATGTACAAATTTGTTGCATCACTAACAACATTCAATGAAACTTAATTTCGTTCCAAAAATATACCATCAAAATTCCATTGTTTTGAAACATAATGTTCACACTAGATCAACATAAAAAATATTAAGATTTTAAGAAAGAAAAAACATTTTTTTTTATAGCTTTCAGACATATTTATGAAGTTATTATCTTTAAACTATGATATGAAAACTCTAAAGCATTGATAATATTTTTTAGCAAATTTTCATTGCATACTTTTTGGTGACGCCTTTCATGTTTTGAAATCTTTAGAGTTTTCAAAAAAAATTAGAAAGATAATGCTGTACTGTACTGCTTTTTTTCTCTGTGCCAACTAACGCTTCGAGCGAAGGAATCTCCAGAGATTTGGAGAACGCTTCTCGCCTAACCCCGCTACAAAATTAAAAGAAAACACGCTCACTCGCTCATACCGCTCCATTTCCCCCCAACCATGATCTCTGCATCACACATCCCCAGCTTCACCACGTCTAATCATGCTCACATGCACCACCAATCCAAACACTTCATCCAGTGCTCGCTCCACTCCACCACTCCAAGTCCAGTCCAATCCTTCACTCCCGATTCGATTCGATATATAATGCCTGTGCAACTTTGTCTACGCTCTCTCTGCTGTCGAACAGGGTGCCCAAAGCAAAGAAAGTAACGAAAGTAAAGAAAGAAAAGAAAAGTTCGTTGTTGCTGCTTGTCGATTGCCAACGTCTCTGTGTAACTGCGACATTTAACACTCGATCACACACAAGCAATTGGAACACACAACACACCAGACACTCACACACATCCCAGCTCACCTGCATATAAGTATCTGCTGTGTAGGGATCTACTATCTGAATCTTTAGCTCTTTGGCGAATCTTTCTTCGGGACTGCACGTTCCACGCAAAAAGAAAAAGAAAACAAAACAGAAATAAAGCATCCTGAAGACCGGCATTGAGTAGAAGCAGAGTTGACAGGCACACACAAAACAAACACACATCCAATGAACATCCACACCACATACAATCCACACCACATCTGACACCACCACGCCCACGTCCATATGCCCGAGCCAGCAGCCTCCGTTCGCTTCGTTCGTTCGAAACCACAACAACGCAAGCCACGGCCAGTTTCACACCAAACAGAAAAAATAACGAAAGATTTAAATATAAAAAAGTTAAAAAACCCACCCACCCACGCAGCCACCCAACCACTACCAAAAAAAAAAGAATGAAAACACTGGACGGTGTGCGGGGATGGGTCGGGGGATCTGAAATTTTGTTTTTTCTCCGATTTGCCACTAGTTCTCCAAATGGTTACCACCGATCCTTTGGAGAAATAGCCGCAGATCCGAGCCAAGTGAGAAAAAAGAAAATGCTTGCGCTAACGAATGCGATTTTGTCTTGTCGAACGAGATCAAACGCCATTCCCTATATACAACAATCCGTTCTGTTCTGCTACCCTCTCCCAACAAATCCAGGTCAAACGCCGCACCAGTGCGATGTCTGCGGCAAGAAATACACGCGCAAGGAGCACCTAGCCAACCATATGCGATCGCACACCAACGAGACGCCGTTCCGTTGCGAGATCTGCGGCAAGAGCTTTAGCCGCAAGGAGCACTTCACCAACCACATACTCTGGCATACAGGTAAAGAGACAAAACGAATCGTAAGCCCGCTTCCTGGTTCCCGATCCACGATCGATCCTGCCCAATCCAGACCCCAAGCTAATGGTTCCTCCGGCCACAGTCCACGACACACGAAATACCTTCTCTACACAGACACTTGGCGGCGCAATAACGAACTCTCGCTAGGATTGGGGTGCAAGCTAGCTGCAGTCCACTGTCCTTTGCAGATTTCATAGTATTCCTATATGCTAAGCTTATAGTAATAACCAAAAATAATTGTTCTTTATGTTACAATCGACTTAGGAACGATATATTATCCTCTAAAGCAGTGGTCGGCACACGCATACCATCACAAGTTTGCCTTGCATTAGTGTGAGTGTAACAAACACGAAGTTTGCGCGCGGCGTGCTGAAGCGAGACGTTTCTCTGCTTTGCACTGAGATCCTCTGCCGCAGCAACAAAAAAGCGCGCCGAAGTTGAGACAAAAATGACCCGAAGACCCATGCCGAAGTCACACGAACATGTACGTTATACGTGAGCGAGCAGAGGATGGGCAGAACACTTCCCTATGCTCACTAGATAGGCCGCTGCCGACCACTGCTCTAAAGCAATAGCTTTATATTGCACTTGTAATTTATGGATTCTGACTTATAATCCCATACGGATTGAATACAGCTAAAAGCTAAGCTTATAATAACATCCAAAAAGGATAGTTCTTTATGTTACAATCGATTTAGGAACGATATATTATCCTCTTATCCTCTAAAGCTATTTATTGCACTTGTTTTTGTTGATTCTGACTTATAATCCCATACGGATTGAACACAGCTGTGACTATATATATGAATCATGGTTAGATAAGATTTGTGTGGTAATGTTGTACAAATAAGATTGATAAGAAATAACAAAGCTATAAAAATAGGTTGATAAATTTACCTTTTGCCTTTTTTGTTTATAAATATAAATTGCCTTTAGAAACCACAGGGACAATATAAATTATGAAGACTTAGAAGTATAAATATGGTAAAAGGTACAACCACGATTTTCACCATTTTTGATGCTAGCATTCCTGCTTTAAATATCGATCGCGGAGACAGTGAACACACGTATGCAACTCGCAGAGCTTCTCCCCGTCGCCTACAAAAAAAAACCAAGCAACGCCGAGTGTCCAGTGACCCGCTTCCAGCTAGCCTATACCATGACCGCCCCCCCTGTTCCAAGGCGATGATTACTAATCTCTAAATGTTTTCTCGTCCCATCCGCGCGACACACACACATTTGCCACGCAAGCAGGCGAGACGCCGCACCGGTGCGACTTCTGCTCCAAGACGTTTACGCGCAAGGAGCACTTGCTCAACCACGTGCGCCAGCACACGGGAGAGTCGCCGCACCGCTGCTCCTACTGCATGAAGACGTTCACGCGCAAGGAGCACCTGGTCAACCACATACGCCAGCACACGGGTGAGACACCGTTCAAGTGCACGTACTGCACGAAAGCGTTCACGCGCAAAGATCACATGGTTAATCATGTACGGCAACATACAGGCGAGTCGCCGCACAAGTGCACGTACTGCACTAAGACGTTCACGCGCAAGGAGCACCTGACGAACCATGTGCGCCAGCACACGGGCGACTCCCCGCACCGATGCTCCTACTGCAAGAAGACGTTTACGCGGAAGGAGCACCTGACGAACCATGTGCGCCTGCACACGGGCGACTCGCCGCACAAATGCGAGTACTGCCAGAAGACGTTCACGCGGAAGGAGCACCTCAACAATCACATGCGCCAGCACTCGAGCGACAATCCGCATTGCTGCAACGTTTGCAACAAGCCGTTCACGCGCAAGGAGCACCTGATCAACCACATGTCGCGGTGCCACACCGGCGACCGGCCCTTCACCTGCGAGACGTGCGGCAAGTCGTTCCCGCTCAAGGGCAACCTGCTCTTCCATCAGCGCAGCCACACCAAGGGCCAGGAGATGGAGCGACCCTTTGCCTGCGAGAAGTGCCCCAAGAACTTCATCTGCAAAGGTGAGTGCGCTCTATGATTGCTGCTGTGCGTTGCATGCATCCAGTGGAGGCACGCGTGGCGTGGCGTCAGCATAGTGTCCCAGCCCCAGCTCCAGCTGCAGCTGCAGATACAAGCCAAAACCAAAACCCCGAGCCCGATCCCGTTCCCGTTCTGCCTTCCAGTTGCTGTTGTGGGGAGTGCTCTCACAGCTTATAAGCGCCGTATTTTGGGGGTCACGTCTTGTCAGAAACCAAAAGAACATGTTTTTTTTCTACCAAAATTTGTATGTTGTAGACAAAGGATGTCTGTGGAGACTTCTTTTGGTGTTCTTTATTTTTAATTTGTAATTAATCGTATAAACTCTTATATCTCCAGTTAGGAAAACATTATCAAAAGTGAAACCCACCCAAAGAAGTTCCTGAAAAATCTGAAATTATTACAAAAAAAAGTTTTTCACATCGTTTAATACAAAAGTTGTAAAGACTAGTATTTTGTAGGTGACTTATTCTTAATCATTGAAAAGTAATTGTTACAACTAAGCCTGACCAGACGTTTACCCCTGAAGTCCTATTTGTATGCAGACAGCGACTGTGAGAGCAATCCCCCAAACCTTACCCGAACCATTTTCGAAATTCGAGATCCCGACGATCAGATCTTCATGTCGCTTCCATTGTCCGTTTCGCAGGTCACTTGGTCTCGCACATGCGCTCCCATTCGGGTGAGAAACCACACGCGTGCACTCTGTGCAGCAAGGCGTTCGTCGAGCGCGGCAATTTGAAGCGCCACATGAAGATGAATCACCCGGATGCTATGATGCCGCCACCACCCGTGCATCCGCATCCGCAAATACCGGCTGGTGTGCTGACGCAAGTCAAGCAGGAAGTGAAACCGATCATAAGTGAGTCGGCAAACACGACTGCGCTAGCGCAAGCGAGTCTCCCCGTGCCCAAGTTGCCCAACTTAACCGGCCCTCCTACCGTTTCAGTTCCCCACCACTCGGCGACCACCACGATGCACACCATTCAGCAGATCACGGCGGGAGCGGCGGGTGGAGCCGGAGCAGTACAGCTAACCCCGGGCCTGGTGCCCCTGGTCACCTCCACGCTCATCTCGCATAACGCGGCTGCCCAGCAGCAGTCGCAGAAGAATCAAGCAGCCGCCGCAGCAGCTGCCCAGCAACAGGCTGCAGCAGCCGCCGCTGCCCAACAGCAAGCGGCCCAGCAGGCTGCACATCAGCAGCACCAACAGCAAGTGGCCGCCCAGCATCAGCAGCAGGCCGCAGTGGCCGCCCATCAGCAGCAGCAACAGCAGTTGCAGCAGCAGCAGCAACTTCTGCAGTTGTCCATCCAGCAAGCGGCTCACCACCATCAGCAGGAGCAGCATCGCCAACAGCAGCAGCAGCAACACCAGCAGCAGCAACAGCAGCAGCATCACCAGCAGCAACAGCAGGGTCATCCTCAGGCCCCGCCACCACAGCAGCAACAACAGCCGCCGCCCATCGCCCTGATCAGCGATCCAAGTGCTCTGGCACGTGCCGCCATCCAGCTGCAGCATCTGCCGGCGAATGTGGAACAGCACCCGGTTGTTTACTAACAGTAGCCCCTCCTGCACGGCTACACTCCCACCACAGCCCACTCCAGCAGCACGACCAGCACCTCCATAGCCGCCACAGCGGCCACGGCGTCGACGCAAGCGGCGTGGTGAGGCCTGCGTGCCACCAGTGAGCCAGTGTGCTAGTGAGCCGAGCTGACGCGACATCTCTATATAGGACACACACCATAACAAGCACACCCCATATAAGCAGCTAGTTGTATGTACAATAGTTTTAGCAGCGCGCTGGTTACGCTGATCTGTGGCCCCAGACGAAAACGTAGTGTGCAGGGGTTCTAGGGTGTGTCGATTTTTAAAGCAAATGTTCGTGGGGGATTAGAACCTTTTAAGCGTTAACGAAAAAGATTTAATCTGAAATGCCGTGGAAATGGCAAAACTTTAAAACAATATGCACTTCATTTTATCTTGGACATTTCTGTGGCTTAAACCCCTTTTGATGTAAATTCAAATTTTTACATTTTTTATCCTTGTAATATTTTATAAGAAGGAATAACAAAATAAGCCAATTCGCTTTTGTCGACCAAAAATCAAAACACCCTAGAAAGTAATTTACAGACTGTGCTCTGTATTCCCAGCTGCAATACCGAATCGACTTCGAGCTATCTTCCTCATTTCCCTTTCGCAAACAAACTCAACACTCCTTAACTAGTCTGCCGCCGCCAGCTTTAACGTGCAATACGAATCATCTCATAGTTTGTTCTCGGTATCTCTCTTTGTGTATCTTTAATGCTTAGACGCTTAGCGTCTAATTTTATTCACGTGTTTTCTACATTTCTGAAATGTGTGCCAGGCGGCGCGTGGTATTGGATGGGTCGATCGATAGGTTTTCGCAATACCCGGTTGCTACTTAGCTGCGCTCAGTGCACCAGTCGGTCCCGATGGCCATTCGACCCATCCACTCTTCTCGCTAGACACTTTTAAGAAGGGGTTTTGTGGCCGTAACCAGCGAAAGCGCACCATCTTGTATTTTTATTGTGTTTCGACTAAGTTACGATTATATCCATACGGAGCGACATTCATAGAAAGCATCCTCATCATACATAAACATATGCAGATATGCATAGGCATACAGTTATAATATATACTTATAGTTTGTAAATAACACGCAACAAGACCCTTGGAAATCTATCGAAAATTCTTTTCACAATTGTATTATTTTTGCATTTTCCAAGGAGGATAATTGATAGCGAGCAATCACGCGTACACTTTCACATATATTGGCCAAGTGTAGTCCTTAACCCAGTTTACAATGTCGAGCCCCGAAGGCGGGGCTGTGATCATTATGAGATATATATTATTATACGACAGCGGAAATGAAGCAGAATAACAGCAGACACGACTAACGAGATAATGAAAAGGGATTAAACAAACAAATTATTATATTTAATGTTAGTTGAACTACTAAAAGTAATAATTGAGAACACGGATCGCCCGAATGGAGAAAGGGGAGTCCCGCATGAGCGAGCGAGTAGTTTTTAGTTGGGCGTGTCGCCCAATCATTATGATTACAATTACAATTACGATTATGATATATGAATACTAAACCTATAACAACAAGTTATTACCCCACTATTAAAGTTAACAAACAACAACAACAACCCATACATATATATACGACTAGGCACAACTCTAAAATTAATTATAACCCTTAACTGTGCTTATGTTGAAAACAACAAACATTAAGAACAAGTGAAAGCCGTAACGAAATATAAGTGAAACAATTAACGAGGAAGCCCAAGCGCCACAAGCAACAACATATCTGCTTTAAATTTTACAAAAATAAAACTGAAAATGAAAAAAAACCAACATATTAAACACGAGTCACCGTTTAATAATTTTACGAGGAATCACAATACACAACACAACTGACAGACACACCCACACACATTATGCTTCCTTTTAAATGCAACATTTTATACATTTAATTGTCAAGAATTAAATGCTTAAAATACAATTTAAATTTAATTTAACAAACTGTAACTTTACACGAATAAACGGAAAATGTAAAACTGTTTGTTTGACCATTTGAAGACACGACTTGGTTTTATTTAACTTTATCTAATTTATTCATGTTTATAGGCAGCAAAGTGAAAGTTTTAAATACACTAAGAATGCAGGGAACAATTGAAAATTGTAAAAAATCATCATTGAAACATTCAACACGTGCATGTCTTTTGGTTTGACGCACTGAAAATTCTTGATTTTGTAAGCCTCAAACACTATCATACGTCTATAATTATGTAGTTGGTTATCCGTGTTAGTTTTCGGTGTTTTTGGATTTTTGGTGATGTGTATAGAGCGCAGTATATAAAATGCATAGAGATATATATTATTGTACGATTATTATCTAACACATAGCTGATATGTATGTGTAGTACGTGAAAGGCAATTTTAAGTAACGACCCCAAGGAGAAAATTCACTTGTGTTGCAATATTAAAACAAACGAAATAGTTTATATGTAAGTTGCGTAGTGCATAAAGTGAGAATAGTAGTAACTTTCTCCACCCACACTCACTGACAGACAGACACTCACCCATTAACCTTAATATTATGCTGGGACAGCGCTGAATATGTTTCCTAAACGCAGCGAAAACGTGGAGAAATTAACAGGAGAAGCTGAGAAAACGCTTGGAACGCCCCAATTAACGTAAACATTAAAGCAACAAACAGTAACAATACTAAATAGAAACAATAATGTACTATAAATCAGATACAATACAACACTATATATACCTAAAATATGCCTATACGACAGAAATTGGACAACAAATGAAATGCATATAAATATATATATATATTATATATAGTATATATTGTACAAGTTACGAGTAAAATGTAATTAAAATTGATGAAGTAGTAAGCACTAAACAAAACAAATAAAAGAGCAGCAAAAACGCGCAGCATAAGCATAAAATCGGATTTTAGTAAAATCTTTTTTTTTCAGCTATGGACAACTATGGAAAATAGTTCCCGTATTTTAATTTTATAGGTTCTTTGTTAAGATTTTTTATACTTTTTGAGAGGATTTTTAAGTTTAGATGTGCCCCAGAACGTGTAATTTTTACAATCTCTAATCGTTTAAAGCGATCTCACGCTCATTTCAAAATGTTTCTTCTCAAACCTTTTATTTTATTATTATAAAGTTATGTGTGGATACACTGTAATGTCAATTTTATAATTTATAATTTCGAATATGAAAAAAAAAGTTATTTTAGTTTGGAAAATTTGTTTTCTAGAAGGATAAAATTTGCTCGCTTTTGTAAGTACTTTGTTTTAACATTATATAAGGGTTATAGGTGTATTAAATTATATATTTTATACTAGTCTTACCCATTTTCCAGCCTCGCTTTGTACAATATCACGGATAAAACTAGCCGATCGGCTCTACTGCTTCACAAACTATCGTTTCGGTTGCCCATCTCCAGAAGGACATACACCATTTAGGTAGCGCACCGCGAATTGCGCCCGTTTTGCCTGGAAAACCACCCCTAAATGACCTTCGCACTAGGTAGCCATCATCTGGCCATGGCAACGGCGTAAATATGTTAGTATTCCAAACGACACGATCAAGAACACACCGCAAATGACGTCCGCAACAGATACAGGTAGGAATATGCAAAAAAATAACCTTGATCGCATTAAGATCGTCTTTCGATTTTTCAGAAACCACTGCAACTTCTCTGCTGGAGCTGAATGACGATGTCCTGGCATTAATTGTCCGCCAGCTGAATGTGTACCAGCAGTACGAGATCGGCAGGTTGAACAGGCGCTTGGAAAGCATAGTGCAGATGCTCTGGAGGACCCGTGTTCGCAGTGTTGTCCTGCAGGACGAGATGTTCCGACGATCGGGATCCAATTCCCGCCAGTTTGTGGCTTTCATCTTGGCCTTGGCTCCTCATATGGAGCGCCTGAGCTTCCACCACTTGGATGTCCGGAGACTGCGGCTCCTTAGCAGTCACACCCTCGAGGGGATCCACTCCGTGGAGTGGCTGGGCGATGGAAATCGAAGAGGACGCGTTCGATTCGTAGACGAGGATGTGCGATTGCTGCGGCGCGTTTTCCCCCATTTAAGGAGACTAAAACTCAGGAGCTGTCAGATTACTGGGAAGTACTTGTGCGACCTGGAACACCTTAGTGAACTCTGCCTGGATGACTGCCAATACCTGGAATCCCAGCACTTCAGGGATATCTTCCGGCAGCTGAAACTTCGCAAATTTGATATCATGGAGGATTGCGATGAGGTGAACTGCTGTGATCTCGCGGACCTGCAGCTGTGTCCCACATTAGAGCACATAAAGATAGCTGATTACCACCTGTGCATGGAGTCGGATATTACCCAACAACTTCTACGATTGCCTTGCCTGCAGAAGCTGTCGATATACTCCAAGAACTTCGTCTTCGATGTGCTGTCTCGGATAGCTCGACCCAGTAGTCCTCCCGGAGCAGTCAAACTTATAGAGGCATTTCGCTTCAGCGGGATACTGCATGATTACGGGAGATTCTTTAGGGAGCTGGGAAACCTTAGACAGCTGACGCGATTGGAGCTGCATGGCCAGGCTGAGGAGGAGGAGGGCGGTAGGCTGCAATGCCTGCAGGATCAGATTCTGCGACAACTGGCCAATCAACTGCGGAATTTGACAGACCTACATTTGTGTGGCTATCAACTGGAGAGTCCTTTGGGCCTGCTGGAATTCGTGATCAATTGTAGGCAGCTGAGAATGCTGGACATAACACGATCTAAGTGCCACGGAGAGTCCTTCGTCTGGAGCTGCATTGCTGTGTTGGCCAAACAAAGGTGGCGCACACAACCACTGGAGCTGTGGATCCGGCATAGCGACATAAATCCGGAGATAGTTCACAGTCCGCGCTGCCTGGACAATATAAAGCTTATAAAGATTGATACGAAGCAGATAGGACCCAATATGGACTATTCTTCGGGCGTGCTTAAGTTCAGCTTTGTGCGGTGATGAACTACCAAATAAGTGATACCTATCGACCTATAAATGGTGAAAGACTGAAGAATCTGCTGTTTACCGCGCATCGCTGAACTGATCAAAGCCCAACCGCTTAAAGTCAATTATAAAGTTTTAAACTGAAATCTAATTAAGTCTATTTCCATTTATCAAATGCCATCCAAATAAAACAATGAAAATTGAATTGCAAAGGTTATTTTGATTTTATGTTGTTATGAAAGAAATGGTTCTCAGATTAAAAAATCTAGAATTTTTTAAGGCTCTTAATATTTTCTATGAGATAAATTAAAGTCTATACTTTGAATTAAAAATTTTCCCTTTTATTATCACTATATCCTTTAGTCTTTAAAACTTGTCATTCGATATATCTGTAATATCTTCTGGTTATGTTACCGGAGTCGAGAGAAATATGAAAAGGAATCTTTGCGAGCAGCGTCAATCCAAATGAAATTCGAGTTCAGAGCTAAAACCTCGTCGACAAGGCAAACTTTTGACCGATGATCACGAGGATGACCAAATGCGCCAGCCCTTCCGCCGAGCCTCCGTCTACTTCAACCTGCTGCTGATAACCGAGGCTGTGATCGGACTTCTAATCCTGGTGGTGACCGCCTACTACCACGCTCTTTTCACCGGCTACTTGTCGGAGATCGAGTGCCGCCTGATCTACGGCTATCTGTTCGGGATCTACGTGTTTGGAGCCCAGCTGGTGGTGACCTTCCTCTGCAGCATAGCCATGTGGCGGCGAATTTGGAGGCGGCGTTGCACGCCCAACATCCGCCTTCTGCTCTCCATGTGGGCCTTCTACTCCTGCGTAATCATTGCCTCTGGGTTCGGGTGCGTTTGGAACCTTTACCGGGGCGTCGATGTCCTGGAGAATGCGGCGGATACCTCGTTGTCCCGGGGCATCGACATGTACTACTCGTGCCCGGAGTGGAAGCTCCTGTGGGATGGCCTGCAGTGGCACAAGGAGTGCTGTGGGGTGCATGGCTACAAGGACTGGATGAGTGCGGATTGGATGCCGCGTCTGGAGGACAACTGCTCGTCGATGGTCCTGGCACCCTACGCCTGCTGCAAGCGGTCCTGCGAGAGCTGCTTCAACAACTTGCTGTCCGGCGAGGGGCAGCCCATCGGTGGCAGCAGTCGACAGCCCTTTCCCGCGCTCACAGTGGACTCCATCAATGCGAATGGGTGTCTGCCGCTGTTCGTCAGTGCGGTGTGGAACTTCTTTTACATCCTGCTGGCACTGTGGGTCCTGGCCCTAAAGTTCCTGGTGAGTAAGGTTCAGGTTCGCTTAGAGCCTTAAACTCACAACTATTGCGGGAGACCGGGGAAATTTAAAGACAAATGTAGGTAAAATATGGAAGTACCTTTCAACGTTGCTAACTATTAGAATTTTAGTATTATCTTCTAAATAATCGTTATCAAAAAACAGGCATAATTTAATGGTGCTTTTATGAGATACGTTTTCACCTCAGCTTTTTTCTTGGTGAAATAATTGGGTGTTTGGCGCATCTGACATTAAAAAGCAGCTGAAAATGTTAAAGCAATTTAAAGATAAGATAATTTTTATTTAATAATATTCTAATTATATTTTTTAAAGGATAATTGGTTCACAGGCAAGTCAAAATAATGTAACAAAAAGCTTACATTATTTTATATATTAAATTGATGAAAACAAAATGCAGATACAACTTTAAAAATATGAAATTCTTAGCTTTAGTTCTTCGTATTATTTGCGGGCTTAGTTAGTTTCTTTCCTACATCCAGATATATGCAAATATATATAGTACTACTTATATATATTTCCAACTGCAAAAATATGACTTGTCAAAATTCAAGGATTGTATTGATACTACTATATTGAAATACCACAAGTTTAACAACATCTTTCATAGATTGTACTCTGTTGTTTGACAAAGTTCATACTTCATCGGCAGAATGAGGGCGATGGCTGCGATAATGTTGGACTCACAGACGAGGATGGACACCCGCTGGTCGTGGTGGTAGGTTAAAATGCTTTATTTTACTTCGAAAACTTCCATATAATGGCGATCTGTCAGAAATATCCCTGTAATGTGCGTTGCGTGACTATTGGAGAGGACGATTTGGTTTCCGACAACGTTCCTGATGCTAACTACTGCAATTGCACCGAAATGGATGATGAACAATGTGGTTACTAGGCTGTTCTTTTGTTTCGTATTTATTTTTATATTTTATATTAATTGAATTTAATATACACCTTTCGTTTTAATCTATTTACATATTGAATGTAAGATTGGGATCTCTCAACAATCAAATGTTTATAGGTAATTAAATACTTCTCAGCACAAATTTATATAAAATAAAAAATATATTCGAAATGCAGTCTCATAATCTGCCTGATTTGTCAGTCAAGAAAAGAGTCATATTAATATTAATGACTGTATGGAATATATAGCTCTTTATGAGTTAAATGTTTACTTTATTTACGGTAATGATATATAACCAAAGATTCGTATATGACTGATCAACCCAAATTTATAAATCTATCGATTAACCTGCTTATATTTGTATGTATTATAAGCTGTTGTACTACTTGCGCATGCGCTTGGACTCGCTCAGAGATTGGGTCACCATACGAGTGATGCGCTTGCGCAGAGCCAAAAAAGGCTTAAGGCAGACGCGCTGCTCGACGAGATTGGCTGAAACCCGGTGGAAGAAGCCAGTGACATCTAGGGGCCTGGCCAGCTGAGCATTGGGCCCCAATTCTAGTTCGTCCGAAGATGATTGCGGACTAGTGTTGCCGTTTTCGATGATACGAATATGTCTTAGACGTCTGGAAACACGTTCTCCAATGGATTCCATAGCGCAAGAATCAGCCCGAGAAGAGAGACGACGTTCCGGAACGCTCAACGAAGTGGACTGCGTCGGGTTTGGTTCTGGTGTATCAGTAATTTCGGTAATCTTTAACGGACTGCAGGCACGTTTCCTGACAGAAAATTAAAATACTAATCAGAGAAAGTTTCCAAAGAATGAAAAGTTAACATACGGTGTTCCAGCCAAATAGATGACATTCATAGACCAATCCGCACCATCTTCGTTTGAACTTTCGTAGTCCTCCTGTCCGCTGTTCCTAATCAAAACATTTAGCAAGGATATTAAGTAGTTAAGACTATCAATTAAAAAAGACTTACAAAACAGTGTCGTTTGAATTCCCGTCACTCTCTTGACCATTTTTCCTATTTACAAAAAAAATTATTGGAAATGTAAGTACATACATACATACATATGTACATATGTAGTTAAGCATAATCAAAAGAGGACTTACAAAGTATCTTGGGAATCGTCATCATCGCCCACAATATGAGGTACTTTTGGTGGAGTCCTGCAATATAGAAAGTACACTTTAATTATTAATATCTTTATCACTTGATCTTTTTTATTACATTTTGCAAAAAATATTTGATGTCTGCGAAGTGACAATACGAAAAGCGATGCGAATAGTGTTAGTATAAACACTGTTTGTCAGTGTGACCATTCGATAGCTTCACGTGGTGTTGGAAGTATGTGCATACATACATATGTATGTAGTTATGCATAATCAAAAGAGGACTTACAAAGTGTCTTGGGAATCGTCATCATCGCCCACAATATGAGGTACTTTTGGTGGAGTCCTGCAATATAGAAAGTACACTTTAATTATTAATAACTTTATCACTTGATCTTTTTTTATTACATTTTGTAAAAAATATTTGATGTCTGCGAAGTGACAATACGAAAAGCGATGCGAATAGTGTTAGTATAAACACTGTTTGTCAGTGTGACCATATGATAGCTTCACGTGGTGTTGGAATAACCCATGCTGAAATTTTAAAGTTAGTTTAAGTTTCTTAAATTTTTTTAAAGTAACTTACATATTGAATTTGACGAACATCACTTAAGCGTTCGAAGCTGATCATGTATAATTACATTAAAGAGAACAACCTTAACCAGTGTTGTACACTGAAATAAGTATATACATACATATGTAGACAATGTAAATAAATAAAAAAGATTCAATTTTCATTCTGTACCGCTGGGCTTCCAAGCAAAAAGCCAGCCTTTTAATGTGACATAACATACATATTTGATTAAGCTATTAAAGACAAATTACAGACAGAAATATCCTAATCTTGGCTTTCCTCGTGGATGTCTGAGAAATCGGAGACGGCGACGCTGCTGGTGCTGATCAAGTGGCGATCGGGCATTTCACCAATGGAGGGAAAGGAACTATTGTCACTGGCACTGGGGAGAGACATCTCCTCCCAACTAACACCCGAATCGCCCTCGTTGCCCAGGGAAACGGGGGTGGCATCGGGATTGTTGGCCTGCTGCTCTTGATCTTGCTGATCCTGAGCACTGCTGATAGGCGGAGGTCTTATACGCTTGCCATTTAGGTCGGTGGCCTGATTGTCATTTCCACCAGCAGCTCGCTTCCGATCAGGAATCCGCCTTTCGGCCGTGGGACTCCAATCCATGGAATGATGAACACAAGCGCGAACTGTCACACGGATGGGCTCGCTGGGCGGACTGTCCAAGTCTGTGGGATCCCTTCTAGGCACTTGGGGCGACATGATCATTGTTGAGTTGTGCATGGCACTCGGCTGCGAGGACAAAAACTCCAACTCGCTCTCCTGTGGATATTAATAGGGATTAACTGGGTGTAGTCGTTAGGAAATTAGTTATCCCACCTGCAAAGCCTTCTCCAATTCTTGATCTTCCGGCTTGCAGCTGGCCGACTGCTCCATAACACTCGCCAACTCGCGCATTTCCTCGACTTCCATATCTGACTCATAAACGCCTGCGCCTGCGTAAATAACCTTTTACTATCTGTAGTGAAATTACAATGCATGCTCTTACTTTTGAGGAAGTCCACTAGTTTCTTGGTAGTTCGGCTGCGTAACTCCATAGCGAATGAAAATTTGTTTTTTTTTTCAATTGTTTGGGCTCTTGCTCATAACGGAACTATTCTTCTGACTGAAATCGACTGTCAAAGCGCCATATCGATAGTGATACCTCAGGTGATGGTCACACTTAGGGATGGTAAAGTGCGATTTAAGCTTTCTCATCGCGACAAAATTAGGTAGGGTATTCCCTATATTGTTCAATAGATTAAGTTCGGTTACCAAAAAGTAAAACTGTTACATAGAGCTTTTCATCGCCAAAAATCATACGTTAATAAGTATATATTTAAGTAGGAGCGACTGATTTCTTAATATCTAAAATTTTTTATACATTAGAAACATAACAGACTTTTTTGTATAAATATGAATAGTAAGGAATTTGTATGCCAATTTAAATACCTTTAAACGGTTGGGATTTTTGGCATATGTGATACTTCGATTCCCACAGTTGATCCTGTCATCATTGTTTACGTTTTCGTAGTGAATGTTTAAATTTCCACTGTCAAGAAGAAGAACTCAGAGTTGCACCGAAAAAAAATCACCTAACTATCGCATAAAAGAGTCCGTCAAATTTGGATGGGGAACTAACTGGGAAGTTTTCTGAACGGCAAAACCTTATGGCCCATCCGTTCAACGGATGGTAGATGGTGGATGGTGATTTTTTTAAAAGTAATTTTGCGCACTAAATTAGCTTTATAAAATAATTACGGATTTTATGGTTGTCCCATCTTGTGTATATACTTAAATTTTTTACTAGTTCTTCCTTCCTTTATGTTTCTTAATCACTCTGAAACATAATTTTTTCTTGGTGTAGGAAATCTCCGTCCAGCAAAATAAAAAATTAATTTTTTTCATTTCTAAATTTGTTTGTTTACTTTTATTTCAGCATGGCCTCACGCCCACTCTAACGCCCGACTATTGTGGTCTCTCTTGTTTTGTTTAGTAAATGGTGGAAATTGGCGAAAAGGTGTATAATATTTTAGAACGGTTAACAAAAAAGCGCGGTAAAATGATCAATACTTCGACTATATTTAGAGGATTCTTTTTGGAAATAAAAGTTTATAAAATAACTTTTAAGCGAAGTAGAAAATGAGGTGACGTTCGGTGTGTATTTTGGCGCATTTCGCCGGCCTTACCAGCTTAAATAAAGCAAATTTTAAAAATTATACCATTTTCTCAAAAAAAAAAATATTTTTTCCAAATGTCAAATTTTGATCTCAGCACCTTCTAGCTGTCCAGACTGCCGTTCAAAATGTATTTAAATTGTATGTCTTTAAATTCAGTATTTTTGTGGACCAGCTTCTGTAATAATTATGCAAAATAAAATCCGCACAGAACGTGGGGTAACAGGGTTTAAAAAACCATTTATGTGTAAAAAGCTTGAGTCCCAAACTGAGAACTTTTAACACCAGCTCTGCGAAGTTGAAATGCATCGTGTAAAAAGTAAACGCTTGGCGAACTTTTTGTGTGGTCAACCTGCTGACCAAAGCTGCAGCTTTTGCTGCCCGCAACGCTGGCAATTGTTTTTCTAATTTAAGCAAAAAAATGCGTCTCTCTGCATTTCGTTTGCATGGCCAGCCACCTGCGAGTTCTATAGCCCCTTGATCCTGCCCCTTTCACCTTTTGCATACCTTTCAGCCCCACCCACTGACCTCTGTCCTTGCACCCAAACGACAACCGAGTTGAAATTCAACAAAATGTCAAAATGCCACTTGAAGTCAGTTTGCCTTTTTCGCTGCCATGCAGCGCGTTTTTGACCCGAAATTGTTCTTTATGTGGGGCAGTTTCGAGTTTGACTTTTACTCCGTGGTAGGTTGTTATACCCTCAACATTTCGAGATCAAATACAGAGCCAGAATATATATTGAAGTATATTTTCAGAAGCATTACTTTTGGGACATCTAATGAAATGTATTTTTAGTATAATAACTTTTTTTGACAATCTTATGAAATAGTTTTCAGTAGCATTACTTTTTTCAATGCCAATGAGATTTGAGTGAAAATTATTTTTATTAGCATTACTATTTTTAAAATCTCTTTTTTTAAATCTCAAGAGTGGTTACCTAAAACATTTTCTGAGGAACCTTAAATATTTTAAGATCATTTTAAATTCTGAGTAGATTTTATTTTTTGCTTCTAGGCATTTCTAAAAAATGTTTTATTATAACATTTTTAAGTTTATTTTTTTTTTTAATTTTTAAGTATTTTATTTATATATTTAAATTCTGAATCAGTACTCCTTCAGACCCCTAGTGCTGACCTCTGTCTTTTCTGTTTTATAGTTTTGGTATAATTTTTTTCCTGACACATTTTTCTATATGACCAAACTCTCTTGCTGGCTGAAACAAGCGCCACCAAAAATAAAAAGGACAAAAAAAGGAAAAGTTTCGATGTCGTCGCGTTGGCGAGCATTGCTTCCTTTGCATGGGAGTCGCCACGGAGTCCCAACTGCATTTTGCCCCACTTCACCCTCTTCGTCCCGTCTAAACCTCAGCTTCTGTGGCACATCAAACGCAAATAAATACAAAAAAGAATGAAAAAGAGGTAAAAAAACCTGGACCAAAGCCGTTTGTGTTAGCCCGCATTTTGTGCAATTTTTGGCTGGCATTTAAAGTCCGTTCAATTACCGCGGAACAAGTTTGACATGGGCAACAAAAATAAAAGAAATCGTGTTTAGCTAAGGAAACGAATTTAAACTCTCTGGCCAGCGAAAATGTACACAATTTTATGCATCCCCTAACCCTTTAATGCCCGTTTCGCAGGCAGTGAAGCAGCTAACTCTTATTGGATTAGCAAATATGTGCCGCTCTCGATTTGCTTTTAGTGGCTCCGTTTTATGTTTTCATCATGGGGGACTAAGGGATTTTCGCCATTAACTTTCGCTCGCCAGCTTTCCGGCACATTAGGCAGTCATTATTTGGCTAATTTTGCATCTTTCGGCCATATAATTTACACCAAATAACACACGACTGCACACACATGCCCGCAAATACCTTAACCATGGCCAGTTGTAAGTGCTGCGTGACTGCTGCTAAAATATTCGCGCAGCACTCATACGCCATGTTGGCCACCGGTCCGTTTCCGGGCCTTCGAGCTGCCTAATCAATGATTTGGAAATACCTTACACAACATTAATTTTACGCTTCGATCACCTCATAACCAGTCCTAAAGGCGTTCCCAATGCTTTCGCGATTTAAATTCGAATTTGGGTACTCAGATTTGACATTAATAAAAAAGGTTTGATAAAATGAAGAAAAACTTTACGATGTCGAAATTATCTTCATCTTTATCTATAAAAAGATAGCTTCTAGAAGAAAACTTTTGATAATTAACAAAATGATACAGTTCATTTGGACTTTTTATTAACAAAACTTAGCTTTTAGCTAACCAACTTCAGAATAAATATACTTTGTACATTTTATCTACATACCTTACATTTTACACTTTTTGACGATGTTCTTGCTAGGGACGGGCGTAAAATGATAAATTACGAACTATTGACCATTAGTTTTTAACAATTTTGTGCGTACCAATAGGTATTCACAAGCGGAATTAAAAAATAAATTTATTTTAAATTTTAATCTTTGAAAATATGGGCGCCACAGCTTTGGCCTATTTGCGATGCGCCAGAATCTCTAGAATCTACAGCTTACTCTTACTAGTAATGGGTATTTTGAGTATTTTTCATAAATTGTATTAATTTTCATAAAGATTACTTATAATTGGCTGTTAAAATACAATATATCATAAAATAAAGCTTATCCCATCATCGTCCATTAATGGTCTAACCCATATTTTTGCCACTTTAAATCGGATATCTCTGGGCTGATGTTGGTCACACGCTCGCTCCAAGTTCCTGCACTGTATTTGCATTTGCATTTTCACAACATACGCTACACAAATAAAATATGCAAGCAGCAAATTTGTAGCCAGACACAGTCAATAGCACAAATTTATTGCCAATTTTTGGGATTTAGCCTGCTGGCTGCTCCTGAATCTCCAGTTCCTGCCGTTTCGAGCCTTGGGAAGGGTTTGATTGTGCAAAATTGCAAATCAAACATGACTAAGGGAGCATCTCGGTGCCAGGGAGGAATGGGCGGTCTGTTTACGAATAGCAACAAAATGGTTCGAATATTTTACTGATGCAGATGGGAGTGTTGCATTTCCCAGTGGCTGTTCTTTTTGTTGCACATCTGTTGCTAGCAGATTTTCGATATAACACTGCCAGCCTTAACGCCAAACTAAAAAATAAGGTTCCACTTTTCCTATATATATTTCTCAAAAACTTTGTCTTATGCTCACCTTCTTTTAACTAAAACGAAATAATTACAAGACTCAAGCTCAGTGGCAATTAGATTTAATTAGAGGTTTAGACTTTGGCAATTACAATTTATCGACAAAGCTTACTTGCTTTACATTTAAAGATTGATATCAACTTGGATCTAATTACATCAATTAAATTTATTTATTGCTGCTTAGCTATTAAATTACCTTACATTCCTTAAGGTATTTACAAATTCATTTAAGTTATTTAACTCGCCAGCACTTTATTAAACTGTCTCATTATTTCCTTTCCTGCCAACAGTTTAAGCACTTGTCTTTCGTTTAGTGGATATTTGTTTGTTGACCAGATTAATATGCATACCTAAGTACATGTGCATTTTCGTTGCAATACTTGTTTAGAGATTGTATTGCTATTTGCTGTTGGCAGTTTTTGGATACTTTGTTTTCGGGGTTCAAGAAACTAGAGCTTTTGACTAGAAGTTTTTCACGTTCTGACCATCACAGCTATTTGTCTACTAATTTTGCAACCTATCTCACAGTAGCAGATGCGTTTTCAGATACAGATACACCCCGGGCGCTGAGAAGTATGCTAGGGTTTGCTTAGCTGAGCCACAAATTTCGCGTGGTGTGTGCCGAGATAAATGAGCGTGTTTTAGTTGCATTTCCTCTCCCCCATTTCCCCCAGAAAAATAAAATAAAATAAAATGTATGCAAATAAACATAAATAACGTGAAAAGAAGGAAACCACAAGCAGACATAACTAACAGTGAAAAGTGAGTGCGGAATAAAAATGAAATGAATGCCGGGC